TACTACTACTACTACTACTACTACTACTACTAATACTACTACTACTACTACTACTACTACTACTTACTACTAAGCTACTGCTATCATTTTAACTGCTGCTCACCCCTACTATTTAATTCTACTTGATTATCTGGGTGTCTTGAAGTTATAATGAGTGGGCAACGTTTCTCCTCCTGAATGCTGGAGTAGCCTGTTCTTTAACAATTCGAAAATCATCAACGTTTTTCACATCTTCAGTTCTACCATAAACTTATTTGACATGTATGTTAAAGAATAGGCCTTGACCTGCCTAGACACATGTCTGGGGAAAGGGATGGGGTGTGGAAGGGATACGTATATCGCACGCTTGTGTGTATGTGTTGGATAGAAGAGGCAAAAACATATTCAGTGAATAAAATATATTGAAACCGGTTCAGGACATGGTAAAAAATGCAGTGAGGGAATTGATAATATTCATGGGCCAAGGTCTATATAATTTGGCGGTTAATATTTTATAGATAGCTGGGCTTCGTTTGTTTCTGAAACCATATGTGACGTTTTGCAATGTGGCAATGTGATTGATTGGCGCAGGAATCTATCCTTTCGGCAGTGGCGAAGGCCAAGGCGGGCCTAATCGCGCTGCGCACTGCGCGCGCAGACGTTGGCACGGCGTGGGTAGGCCTAAGGGTAAAAATAAACCCGCCGCTCTCGACACCTGTTATATGGAGCCTAGGCCTAGATTTTTACATTTCGGCGAAAAATTACACCTTAAAATATTTAATGTAACACTGTTTGAAGGTCAGATTTAAAAGCCATTAGTTCACTGCAAGATGAATTTTGATTGTACACCACGGTTGTACTTGAAATAAAAATCTAAAGAAAAGAAAAGTGTCAGCAATGGATAGGGCTTTTTGCTATTCTATTTCTTAGAATTTTGCTTAGGCTAGTCCTGTATATTTTACGAAACTGTCGGAGTAGCAACATGAGGGAGAGAATTGAAAACTACAGTCGAACCTGCCCTGACGGCCACCTCTATAAGACGGTCACCTGTACAAACGGCCACTTTCCATTTCCCCCCTTGCGTTTTTTCTATGTAATTTAACTTTGTAAAATGGGCACCTGTCCAACGCGGCCGCGGCCACCATATTTTAACACGCAACCCCTATCACACAAAGCAAATACACCTGTCTAAGACGGCCACATTAGTGACTCCATTACGTTTTGTCATAAATCAAGCATTGGGCTCTTGCGTTGTGGGCGAGCCGTCA